GTCTAGGTAGGTTTCATTGGACGGAATATGACCCTCTACCGTTCGGCATTCTATATCCACAATTGGATTGCCAACTCCGCAGACCTAAGATGAAGAAAATGCTATTTATTGTTTAACATTAGAACTGAGTACATTGAATTGTTCTCTGACAGGCATGTCTGTTAAAATGTATATGACCACTGTTATAATGCAGGCCAAACTAAAGTGCATGGCGACTTTCCTTCGGACATGTATTAAAAATACAGAGAATTGGCTTTATAAAAGATATTGGTCATGGATCATACAAATATTGTTTCATATTTCGGTCTGACAAAGTTTTGCCAGTGTAGTCATACAGTACTGTAATAAACCACTGGCAGAGTTTGACTTATACTGCCCTGCACTATCGATCACAATTATCTCTCTGAGTAAGGTTCGACCGATGGATGTCATCCTAATATTCAACAAATATAATTATGGGTAGTATATAAATCAATTTTCTTGACAACAGCGTAGGAGCACTACTACACTACGTATTATGATGCGACAAATTACAAAATGAAAAATTGCCTATTTCACTTTGACACCATACAGGAGTATCCTTAGAACATAAAAGATTCCGGTCGTTGACCACCCTGATTCTCAACATGTTTTTGGAGGGTCAGGTAAAATTGGATTATGTTTCGATGCAAAGGGGAACGTAAGTATGCAATTAATTTTTTGTGAAAATGAACCTGACAGGTTCATGGCACTGAAACTACCTGCTTCCAATAAAAAAGGTTTTAGTAAAATTGAGAGAAAATGATTTTTGCGATGGAAAGGGACATATAGGCCTATCGAGGTCGAAAATATGCTTACCCAAAGAAAACAGCTGCGTTGTTCATACTGCAATTTACAAAATGAAAGCTAAATACATTCACCATGCGAATAAAAACGTTGATTAAATCCCTACTATATAGGGAACCCTTCGTATCGTTGTGTATCTTGCTGGGCCCTATACTTACCGCACCAAAGTCTGTCTCGAAGTCTCCGTCTCCTCCCCAAGCGCCACCGTCTATAGTGAGAGGGGTGTCTTTGTTGGTCCAGTTCGTGAAGACGAAACCTGGGAGTGTTTAGAAAAAATTAGTGTAGAAAGAATGTAGTTGTGGAACCAGGGTGTAGAATGTGTGCTTTGTTGTCGTGCAATTTTCAAATATGTAGGCCTACTTCTTTGTTCTTAGGCCTTCATACACCATAATACACCATCATACACTATCATTTTAATTGTTTTGTCTTAGTGCATTAGGTATTTGAATATTCATGGGATGTTTATCTACAGTTTTGTGGAACAACAAACTACTATGGGGAATAGATATGATTTTAAAAGCTTCCTATATTGGCTCCAGCCAAAGCCTGTGAAAGAATGAATGCACGCGCACAAACCTTTACATATGCGTCACTGCATGCGTGTGTGTCCGTGCGGCCCCGTTTATACCTTGTGTTTGTGTTATTGCCATATTGCCATATACTTACAGGCTTGAGTATTGCAGACTCGACTCTCCTCACTGGGTCCCTCACAGGTGCCGGGTATAGAGCACGTTCGGCTTCTTACGCTGACGCCACCACCGCACGTGACGGTGCACTCTCCCCACTCTCCCCAGGGGGACCACTCGCCGGTTTCGTCAATACACGGCTGCCATAGAAAATCGGATTTTGGAAATAAATGTTACATTTAATCGAGAGATTAAAAACGCTTGTAGATTTGCCGTCAGTCATGTTGATCACATACTAGGGGTATAAAATTCAAAGCGAAGAGAAAGTCTCAAGAGTGTCTAGGTGCAATTTGTGGAATATGTTTAAAACACAAATGGGATTTTCTTCATCATAACCAGACAATCTTTGAGATGGATTGATCTTGCGTGACTGTCTTATGTATCGTTGCAAACAATCAAGCTAAGTATAGTTAAAAAAAATATCGAGACTCGAGATCAGGAAAAGAGGCATACGACGGCGGGTGATTGTAATGAATATCGTTTGTATCGAACAAAATCCCAATTATGTATAAAGTTCTTAAGACACCGTGTCACACCGGGCTAACGAACGCTTGGAAAACTAATTTTGGTCCAGTCTCATGAAAAAGCAACAATAGAAAAGGCTGCAATATTAAAAATTCTTTAAAACTGATGTATGACTTCGATGGTGCCCCAAATGAAAAAAGTGTGAGGGTGGGCAAAAAATCCGTACCGCAAACGGTTTCAAGCACGGTGTAACAAAGTCTGAAGAAATGCCGTATTACTCACCGTTTTGAACACCGTTTTTAAGGAAATCGAAACTGGCCATCAAAGCAAAAATATCAAAAACGCAATCAAAATCCGTTGTAACGGAGCATTTGGCGAAAAAAGTCCACACTGTGCCCTTAGAGGCAAAGTGTAGTCACTTGTTTGTTTAATCTAAAACGAAAATTTTAACGAACAAATACAATAACAACCGAGTGTTCCAAAGATGTTGCGATGCTTACCAAATTAATGCCGTGACAAGGGTTGGCGTCACCGGGTTGCATGACGTAATCATGACGCACTGTGGTGCCCGGAGCACATCTGAGACGCGTGGGCTCCAAGTCTAATGCCGCGTTGGCGTAGGTGCACTGGTAGAAATAACACCGGTTGCTAATGTCTCGCATGTACTCGCCAATACTCTCACATTCCTTTTCTAGAATACGATAAAAATTGGCAGTTCTGTATTCCAACAGAATTTTTGAAATATGAATAACAATGAATATTTGTTATCAAATGTAAGTTTTAAAAATCTTCTGGGTTTTCTGAAATTATAAAAAGCGGTATATATATATATATATATATATATATATATATATATATATATATATATATATATAAGCTCATTACGTACATAGTTGTAACTTTACTTAACTCGCCTTTACGCAAATAGTTCTCAAAGCTTAAAAAGGTGAGAAAATGAAATTGATTACCAGGAGTGGCTGTCGCCGTGGCTAGAACCACCAGGAACAGGTAAGCTGAGAACGTCATGGCACACCTCCGTCTTCTTGCTGAGTTATCAAGTAGTTTTGACCAGTACGCTCAAGATATTATATAGGGGAGACGTTATGTAAATTTACATTTTAAATAAGAACTTAATTGTTGTTCTATGTTTTAAAAAGCAATAAATTATCCAACTAGGGGGCGTCAGCAGAGTGGTTTGTCCTTAGTTTGAGTTTTGGCCAGAAGGTGCGCATTTAAAATTAACAATTCGTTGAATTATTCTACCTAATTATGAAGATATGTTAGGGTGCAAAAGGCTGTGAGTAATGGAATATAGACATGTACCCCTTGAGGTAGAGTCACCTTTCCAGGTCTAAAAACGCAAAAAGGATAAAAGGAAATAATTTTTACGAACACTCATTTCGGATATATCTACACGCAGGTGACTCGTGGAGCTGGTTTTATACAATTAAGAGCCCATTTTATATTTTAGGAATGTGATATATTGTCTAATATTTTCCCTTTTCACATCTCCAGCGAGTCCGTAATAATGTTTTCTTGTTTCAGCAAGCGAAATTTCCTTCAGTTAATATTTATTAATCTCTTTCAAGTTTGGTGTCATGTTTTGCTTTTCTCTGCTTTTCATGTTGTTTTCTTAATCACCACTTCGCTGTTAGACGGCACTGATGCATCAAGGTAAAATTGGATGTACATCAAGGTAAAATTGTATCTTTACCATGAAAAAAAAAATAAATAACAAAATAAAATACCTCGCCATCTTAATGATCTGGAACCTTTAAAAATATTTACACGTTGATTAGCAATGAATTATCAAGGAATTCGGCAAACGCACTTTATAGGGTGGCTGTCCTAAGGTCACTGACCTCTCATCAGATTTCAGACGGGCGCACAGGCCCGTTCAAGTCAGAAATCAAATCTGCATAATTATTAGGCGTCCCCTATCCTTTCATATGCGTCACTGGTCTTAGACAACGGTTTAGCTGGGCGGAATATTAAATCTTTTTCTAAAACGTTACTTAGCATATAGCAATAGCTATTCACAGTTCACCTTAGAAAAAAAAAACTTACTATCATTTGATGATTCTGTCTTTCACTTATATTTTACTCGATTGACAACTGTAATTTAACTTTTCAAAAGAAAACAGCATTAATCCAATATTGTCCTCAAATGTTTGTGTCTATGGCACTCTGAAGCTGAGAGCTTTTAGCGAAGAATAAACTCGCTTTTGATGACTGCCCTCGTTTGATCTCCCTGTCATCGTATTTCAAACAGCCGTCCCTATCCACTCCCCGGCAATTAAAACTGCATATTCAGGTGCAGCTTTCATCTCCTCCTTTCATTTGTATGTAAAGTAGAAGTCCTCGGGTACGTCATCTCACGTCATTTATAATTATAATTTATCTAAAATTACCACCAGAAGATTTACAGTTTTACATTCATAATGGAAATGAAGAAGAATAATGAAAGATATGAGGAGCAATTAAATGACGCACACACTAGTTTATATGAAGTGACATTACTTCAACTTAAAGCAAAATCAATTCCACGAATGTTTATAAGGCAAAATCAGCTGCCCCTCTCCAATGTTACCATAGCAGATACAGAAAAAATCTTTGTATCCATAAAAAGTGAGCTGACAATCCTGTGGTCAAAAATAAGTCCACTTCACGCTGATTTACACTGATTCTAAGACAAAGGTTTTATTTTTATTATGATTAATCCACTCCCAAAATTCCGTAATTATTCCATTTTGAAGTGCTTGGATAAAATACTTCGTTCTTAAAAAGGACTACACTTTACGCCCCTCCACTTTAGACGTAACCAGACGAGAAAATATCTCGAGACATAACCACTCTTCGCATTGCAGTAACTGGAGAAAAGAACCCCATCCTCAACCCGTGCATCTTCCAGTTTTCTTAATTAAAATACATTTCCATATGGCATCGAATAACACGTGGTAGTTTTTATAAACATATTTATCAATGACGAGTAAAGAAACACCAAATATATAAATATTACTAAGCTGTTTTATTTACAAAATATCTTTACAATTTTCTAAAATATTATACTGATAAAATCAGAAATTTTGAGAATATTGGGATCCTGATTATTTTGGACGCTTCTCATGATTCAGATGTGAAAAAACCCGCACCTTTTTAAAGACCCTCCTCTTCTTAGGCAAAATTCTTTAGTAAAAATCTAAGAAAAATTTACACGCACAAGGCGAACTCAGAGAACGCACCATTTAGTAAGCTTCTCTGTGAGATTTGTAACTTTTTAAAATTGTCCATTTGTATAACTGTTGCAAATATCCAAAGATGATCATTTTTGTATAATTCATCAGCACATCTTGAAGTGACACGACACTGTGTCAAAATTAGAATGGGATTGACCTTACATTACTGTACAATACCACTGTTAGTTTCAGTCTACTGGTAATAAACCTATTATACAATAGCCTCTTTTTGCTCACATTGAAACTGCAACAGAGAGAATAATGTGGATTCCAGGGAGCAGGTAGAAAGAGAATGGCGTTAAATCCTTTGCACCAATGAATTTTACATGTATGGTCAGAAAGTAAGTTCACTGATAAAACTTTGCTGTCCTCTTCTCAATTTTGATCTCTACCGTTAGGATACAGGCTATGCCAAGAATCTTTATAGAAAACGTTCTTTTCGAAAACTTTTAAGCGGAACAGTTTTTTTTTTTCATCTTCTCAAGACTTAAATGTTATAACGGCATTGTCCATAAATACATCAGATACTGTACATAATACAGATGATATAAATCACAAGAAATACGGCGTAGTTGTGCGTGGAGGAATAACACGTTCACTGTCAGGCACTGCGTGAAATATTTTACCTTCTTTTGTCTCTGCGTCTGAGAAGGACAGCGTAGCAGCCACATTGCCACAGCGGTAGCAGTAGTTAGGGGCTGACCAAACTGTTACCAACTTCTCATCAAACATGAATTTGTACCCTGAAAAATAAAAGAAAAACCCTGCATCACAAAAACAATAAAAGAAAGAAAGAAATGAAGAAAAAAAAAGGAAAGAAAGAAAGAAACATTAGATGTATGAAATATCAGAAAATACTTAATCATTCAATTTCATAATAACAACTGTTGCAATATTACATTTTACCACATTTATTTTTTACAAAAGGCTATGATATAACCAAATTTCGGAAATAAATGGAATTGTCATGTCCCCCCCCCCCCTNCCCCCAGACTCACACCAAAGCCTTACCATCATGGACCAACTGGTGAGCCCTACAGATAAGTCTTAGCCCATTGATGTGGACAAACTGAAATGAAATGAAAGGAATTAAAGGTATACCGTCCATGCTTGAAAAACTTCCCCAAAATCATATTTTCTTTGTCTATATATATATATATATATATATATATATATATATATATATATATATATATATATATATATATATATATTGCAAAGTCACTTTTCTTTCCCCATTTTGACCTTCAAAACAATAAAAAATCCTCAAATAAAAGAACTAGATATTGATATTTCTTCTAACACTTCTAAGTGACTGACCATTCATTCAGAACTTATTTTCTTTAAAAATATGAAACATTGATCACTGTGAAGTAAGGGATGGGCAGACCAATGATTTGTGAGTAAGAAAAAAAAAAATGTTTTTTCAAAGGAAACTGAATTTGGTGGGAATCAGATATGATGCCTTTAATAAAATGAAACAGGTTCGAAAACAAAGTCCTCTGGAAAATTCTCCCAGACAACCGACACCTAGGACCTTGTTACTGCCCAACCTGATAATCTTTCAGCGTTTAATAGTGCACTAAGGCTCTTTTATATTAATAAGTGACATGACATTCTTCTACAAAGAGCACTCTGCTGCCCTAGAGACAACTGGCTGGGTACTAATAATAATTACTGACTTTAAAGTATGCATCCAAGAGTACATGTACCGTATCAATTTGGTGAATTTTTAATGGGTATGTGCATTTGCACTCATATATTTTCTTAAGTCAAGGTTAAAATACCAAGCAGAATGGCAGACAGAATTTAAATCCAGTTGTACAAAATGCCTAACTTTAAGTTTAAAACAGCCTAAAACTGAAGTTTTATTTATTTACTTTTATTATTTTTTTTTATATACAACAGGACTGAAATATGAATAAATGGTTATATGATTTGTGATATTGCATATCTATGCTCTTATATCTAAAACTTCATTTCATTTCATTATATATATAGTTGATCCTCAATTTAACACACATTAGAACAATAATTTGAAAAATCACAATCTTTAGTAATGAGCATTAATAAGATCATATTTTTGTACACAAACAAAAACACACACAAGAATAATGGCTTCCATTGTTGAAAAAAAAAATAATACAAGAGATATAGCCAGAATGGATTTACAAGATTCAGAGGCCTCCTCGGTAGGTTATTCCTTTAACTCACCTCATATGTCACCTTAGCTCCAAACAACCATCCTGCACCCCGGGGGCTGATGGACCACGTCTCCACATCTTCAGGGTCAGACCAGACCAGATGTAGACAGCAGTTAAGGAAAACAGTGCATACGTTTCTAGACCCACCACAGAAGAATTTTAATTATTGATCCTAGCTTGGAGAAGAAAGCAATCAGCTTTTTTTACCCCTGGAGAACACAGTCTCTCCCCCTTCCCCCTAGCTACCACAAAAGGGGTAAACCAACCAGGAGGTAAAGGATATCACAGAACGCCCCCTTGTGTGGGATCTCCTGGTTCCTTTCTATTGTTCTGATCTGATCCAATGTCTTCAGGTCTGGTGACAAACCTCCGTGAACACACAGGATGGTCTCATCAATTATCTGCAAATATATTCAATATAGCAATACATATAATGCAATACATGTATTAGTATGTGTGTGGATGATCCAGTTCCACACTTTACTAAACTTAAATGCTATTACATATCTAACTCTACATTTTGAGGACCTACAGCTTGCTGAAAACTGGCAGTTCAACAGCAGTCCTTCAAAGGTATTCTTTTCAGCAAAAAAGACTAACTTAACAATGATTATCACAAATATGTCTCAAATAAAGATTGATGCTTATAAACATGTAAGATGGCATCACCTCTGAACCATTCCTATCTTTTAACCTAACACTGTATCCCATTTATTGCTATCACTGACTGACCAGTGGTCATCTAATACTGCCCACTTCAGTAACTTACCGCAGCTATTGTTAACAGATCAAATACTCGGCAACAGTACCGCCATGCATTGGCATTTCCATACTTTGTCTGGCACTCATCTGAAACAATGATATAAAACAACCTCTTCTCAAATATTACCACAGCAACTGCAACTGTTACAATTAGTTAATAGATAATCAGTTTCATATATCTCTTACAAAAAGTAAAATATAAGGGCTACTTTCTGTTGCATTACATACTAGCTAAACTGGGAATGCACACCTTTGCAATTTTATTTGCTACAATGAACTCACCATAAAAACCATACACCTGAGTAATCTGTCGACTTTCATGGTTCCCTCGTAGGAGTGTTATTTTATCTGGCCATCTAGCAAAAAAAATAAAGAAAGTATAGTTTTGTCAAATATTTTGTTCAAATTCATTGTTATATATAAGGGAGAAAGAGGAAGTCCCTTAAATGGAAACTTAAGTTCTTAACCTCCTTGGAAATTAAATGAAGCATTCATTTTCAAATCTAAAACAAGTAGGAACCTAAAATTAGAGATAAAATTTGAAAAATCACAAAGTTTATTACCTTGCTTTTAGCGTAAGAAGTAGTGTGAAGGTCTCTAAACTGTAATATCCCCTGTCTACAAAATCACCCTGAAAGCAATATAATATAATAACAATATAATTCAATGAAAAAGGTGGTAATTAAGGAAGAAGTAATCTCATAGATTATCATAGGGGTAAATCAGCAACTGGGTTCTTGCAATACGTACAAGGTAAAGTATAGAAACCTCAATAAATTCTACTCATATCTGAACTCCTGAAGCCCAATTTTTTTAATTTGTAAAGTCTACAGAATATGTTTTATGGATTTTAATTTATTATTATAATTAATTATTATGAATCTAAAAATAACTGGACATTAAAGTACATTAATTATTAGACCCAAAGAGACATGCTGTCAAAATTAAATACTCACCATAAATATATAGTTTGTGTCTGGAACCTCCCCACTGGTTCTGAACAGCTCTTTTAGGTCATAAAACTGAAAAAAAAAGTACTTTTTATCAAATACAGCTCTATTACATTATGCTTTAAAACTGCAAAATAATTATTGGCCACGTAATGACATATGTTTGCAATAGCTACTGAGTCAATATGAGGAGAGTTGGAGATAAAACAGCTAAGTAAAACTGCATTCCAAATACACACACCTGTCTCCCACCTGTCCACGGATGTCTCCACAGACAGTGACAGGGTTGGACACAAGGGTAAGATGACATGTCAGATCATACTGTCACCTACCTGTCCACGGATGTCACCGCAGACAGTGACGCATTGGTAACATGATTTGTCACGTTACATACTGTCACCTACCTGTCCATGAATGTCACCACACACTGTGACAGGGGTGGACACTGGCTGTACATTGGATTCCTCCAGTAACAATTCAGAGCAGTAGTCACAAAGTTTCTGAAAAAAGAAAACAAACTCATCCATGATCCTGCTGGTCTGACCAAACAAGTAACGTAACACTGTCTTGACTCTTGTTGCTTTTCCATTAAATGAACCACGTTTATGGAATTTTTAATGTATTTACTTATGTTTTGAATATCTAAAACAGTATACATTTTGTCATTTCATGGCACCTCAGGCTCGGGTTTAGACCTGATGATGAAACAGTCTTTTGCACCAACGGCTTGAGTCAAGAGACCATGGCCTGTGCCGTGGTTGTATATACTTATGATTGTTATTGATCTTGTTTTCAAGATGACACAGCAACCTGAAACAACTTTCAAATACCAAACGCAAAGCACCCGATTATCTAGTGAATCTGATTACAAACCTTCAAGTCATTTTCTGGTAAATATTTGCACTGTCTTGCGATTTCGACCCACTTGTCCGCCATTTTCTAACAGGAAGCAGTTATATCTGTGAACTCGCGAGAATATACGAGATTTGTAAACTGGTGCATGGATTACCGTGTTCGATTGGCAAGGATTTGTACACTGTTTGTAGGCAGACCGGGGAAGTTTAATAGAAATAAAATTGTTTAATTTAATCCCTTTATATTTTTGATTTTGCAGAAATAAGATGATTTATAAGCTGAATGAATTACGAAAGTAACAATTTTTATTGTAATTTAAATTATAAAAAGATAAAAAATCAAACAAAAAAGAATTCGACATAGGGGCCTACCAGTAAATTAGACCAACACCCGGTGAAAACGGTTCGATCCACTCTGTTTAAGGCGTGAGGAATAGAAGTAGAATGAGGTCCCACTGGATATTTTCGTAACTTTTTATTTCGCGAGATGCCTGCAACGTTCATTTTATTGAGCGGGATCCGTGAAGCAGCCTATTCTCGTGACACGTGAATACGGCTTTTTCTTCACCCTTCTTCACCCAAAGTCATTATACCCAGTGATTCATGATTTTCAGGATTTTTGACTCTCATTATCAGTGAGATATGATTAAAGTTTTATTTATTGGGATTTGTGATTTAATGATTTTATTTCCCGTGAACTGTGATCACTATTCCCAATGGGACCCTGTACGCACAATATTTTTCTTATTCTTTTCTTTAATGTCATGATTCGTTCACATTTCATTGCTTTAAAATGAAGCTAAGAACTTTAAGTTAATGGTCGAAGACTCAATCACAACATCAACAATCACATCCATGGGCGGATCCAGGATTATTTGAATGGGGGGGGGGGGGGGTCCGCGACCGACGACTGAAGGCCGACTCGTGAATAAAGCTTGGTCCGGTTTTGCACTTGGATTCGATGCTTCGTACCATCTTTAATCAAGGAATTTAGTTTTTAATGTTTCCTTTTACGTTTAGACAGCCGTACATCGTAGACCTACTACATTTAGTATGTGTTTCTCTACATTTATACATTTCAGAAAGAAATATCAATATCAAGTACCACTTTTATTTGAGGGGGTTTGTAGCTAAGAGAAATCTGAATTGGGAAAGACAAGTATATTTGCATACACAGGAAATGCATAAAATATTTGACTTTGCTGTATTTTTTAAAGGCTGATAGTATATACTGAGGCAGCTGTCATATCCCCACCCCCAACAAACACACACTCACCTGCACTCACCCACACTCTAAAATAATAAGTGCACATAAATATACACCAGGAAACAATGAAGAGACTTCACATAGAAAACGTAAATTTAAAAGTTGAAGTGTCCAGCAAATAGGACATTCTGTGTTGGTTAGGTTGCAAGTCGATGACCAGAATGACCAGGGACAACTGCTAGTTCTCCTCTTACATAAACGCTGTCTACATGGGATATTTACGGGTATGGGGCGAATGCAACGCTTCGGAAATTGCTGTACACAGGTAATCATGGCCGTCAGTCCGTCATTCAGACAGATTCAGACACAATAGGCGATGTGGAGGCCCATTATCATCACCCCATTATCAAAACTGCTGAAATGGTATACATTTCATCTTGTTGATGTCAAGTTTTTGTGATTGCTGTGTCCTGCCGTGATGTGGGGCATTCTATATCCAATGTTACCAATCGATGGGATGGATAAGCAAGAAAAGGGGACGGACGCAAGGGGGGTGGGGGGGAGTACAATCACGCCCTGTGCTCTCCAAAGTAGACAATTTTTAAAATGGTCAAGATTATTGTTGTTAAAACTCATTCCTCCTTCGCTAGCACGGGCGCTCATTTCTTTCCCAGGAGTATCTGACTTAATATTAATGCTTGAAAATATTGCAAATTCAATAAGAACTTTTCAGCAGAATTTGCAGAATGCACATGTACCGGTAGGCTACCCCCTGGAAGTGCCCTCACTGGATTAAGGCGATAAAAAACTATACATGCATCAGATGTTTCACTCGTGAAATGAACTTTCAACTTCTAAGTATTTAACCTGCATGCCTTCTGACTTTTCCTGAATTTCTTGTGCAAATAAATAAGATATAAGATCATACTTCATCATACTCCCTTCTGTGCTTCGGAGGCGAGGAGCCGTATTTGCTTAATTCGTGTTAATTCGAGAGTTTTTATCGTTAAAAATCTCATTCAGTTGAATGCAATTCCTATTTATGATAAAACCATTACGCATCACTCTACAATCGATTATTGAGTTGAGATTTAAAATAACCATTTACATTTATAACGTAAATAACTGAAATAAGGAATTGCATGTCAAGCTTTTATACTATCTCTAGATGGCGTGAGAGTTTGGTCCGAATTTTAAAAGGTTAAAATCGCATGTCACAGGTTAAATTTCTAAATGTCGTTTCGCGTGACCATCAAAAACCAAAATCAATTTTCGGTAGCAGCCCACTTTTGTGTATTGTAAGTGTTTTCTATCAATTTTTAAAATAAATTTATCTTAATTTATATTTGTTTTTAGTTATTATTATTATTTTTCCTTATTTTTGCCATATTTGAGAGATATTCCCACGTAAGCCACACCTATTTTGGCCTCTGCTGCGTCTGCTTTGAACAATCTGCTCATCTTTCTCTTGAAAGGGTTGTACTATTTTTTTTTATTTGACGTGCTTTCATCAGCTTACTTTCATTATATTTAATCTATCACCAGACAGTCTTTCGCGTCTTACATAAGAGTGATGCTGTTACTTCATTCTACACATCTTTTTCAACGTAACGTCCCATACAGCTCAAGTGACCCGTATCAGCTGAGCAGATACCGTGATGGATAGTTGGGTTATGTTTCCCGTGGTGTCTTATTATTCTCATAGTATAATTTCGAAAGAAGATGACGCCGTCATTGACACTGGAGTTGATATCCATGACTTGTGTATATATATATATGGCCCCGTTTCACGTGGATTGTGTCTGGGCAAAACGGGTACTTGGCTACATAGTTATCTACAAGTCCCTATAGATCTGTCCCTGTTGCACGCTGACACGGTCATATCCTAACTGATATTTCTGTAAGAGGTCCTAGTCTAGAAATGTAAAATTAAAATTGCAGTTTACACTTAAGAAAATTATTGAGCACAATTGCATTTATTCACACAGAAAATTAAATTAAAAGAATGGGCGAAAGAAAAAAAAATAAATTGGAGCGAGGTAGGGAAAGAAGGAAGGAAAGACGAAAAAAGAACGGCAAACGGAGAATCAAAATAAAACAGAAGAGTTTGCCACCCGTGCACATGATATAGTGAATGTTGAAAAAAAAAAAAAAACTACGGCAACAAAGGGACATTTATTATAAGGGAACGTTAATTTGTACCCTCTCCTTTTACTAAGATGTCAACTTGAATATTATGGATTCTCTATAAGAAAGAACAAACAGTTTTTATGGGTTGCTGAGTGTGTAATGGTGCAATGTAGGATAGTATGTCCGTTTACCACAGTAATTTCTTTACGCTACATCGTACGTAATACCGTACGTAATACAACAATGTTATATACAATGTAATTCACGAAGAAATACAATCTGAAAGATGACATTTTAATATGTAGGTTTTGCTTGTATAGTGTCTGGCATTGTTTAAAAATAAAAGTTACCACAGCAAATGTGCAGTTCTTAACGCCAACCAGATAATTAATGACATCTGATACAGAAAATGGCCCAAATGTCTTAAACGACTTTTCAGTGTTTCCTTAACCTCGCACTAGTAAGTCACAACCAATTTAAGATAGTTATAGGATTGTGACTTTGAGAAAATTTTCTGACTTATGGCCAAACAAAGTCACGAAAGTGTACATTTACACGCTTTCCCATTTTCACTCCCAGTAACAACGCTTCCTTTTAAGCAAAATAATTGTATCGTTTGGATAGGGTGCAACCAGCATTTGAAACTTAACCTCGGGGTTTCCATTGTATCAATACGAAGCCTTGAAGACACAAATCAACGCGGAAGTGTGCATACAAGTATTTGTAAGAACTCGAGGGTCTCAAGCAAAAAGTGTCAAAGTGTCTACGGACATGAAATAAACAACTTTATCATGCCTGGTTAATCGCAACAAGATGCATCTCGCTGGACCACACCAGCCATCACACGGACCACGGGCTCGGAAGATGCTGCAATTATGATTACGTGGTCGTAGGTAGTCAATGTCTTGGAAGAGGGGTTGTTTCGGCTGTCTAACAAATACCAGGGTTTCCAGTTTAACGGCCTTTATATACACCAGGGTCCCTTTGTCAGGAAATAATAGGAAATAATGCAATACACTTGTATTACGTATCACGAGGTTTCTTCTGGTTTTTAGCATCGAAGCACGAAAGCTGTCACTGAGGCCTAGGCATTTCTTTCTCATGCCTTCATTTTTATTGGCTGATGGACACCTTGCCATGGGGGAGTGGCCATGAAGTATAAATACCAAGACAAAGCCACCAGACGCTACATTTCCAGTTGGTTCAGGAAAAGTCACCGAAACTCTCCACAAAGCTGAGTTAAAGTTAATACAGCAAGATGTCTGTGAGTGTTTAGATTGACAAAAAACCTAGGCTTTCGATAATAAAGTCGTATATCTAGTATTTTGCATTAAGAACTAATTTTACACGAGGGTTCGGTGTGTCAAACAGCTTTTTTTTTTTTGCAAGATTGAAAATAACTGCTCGGTCGTTTTCATTTTCAGAGCTGATATTTCATAGTATTTGTTGGGTAAGGGTTTCCACTTATCTTTATTTCACATTTCAGACAAACTACGACGAAGTTTGCGACAACATGCTGCTTCAGTAAGTTCTATTTACCTAAGATATTTGAAGAATTAATTTTATTTTCTTATACTAAATACTGCCGATAAAAAAAAAACCAATCCGTATTTTTGTTAACAGATTGATAAAAAGACACAATCTCTCTCCCCCATACTTCCAGGCTGTATGAACGCGTGCGCTATGTCAAGGACAAGAGCATTCATCTGTCGCTGGACGCCAATCAGCGTATGATGATCAAACTGAGCTGGAACGCGTTCGTGGCTGGAGACCCGTCCAACAGGGGTATGCAGATGTTCTTAAAGTAAGTGAAACGCTGCACATTGTCGCTAAAGTGACCAATACATGTAGTCTGAATCGTTGAAATATTTCATTTTTTTCTAAAGGTAGGATAAGGTGTCAAGTTATGAAGTGTCTTGTTAATTTGGTGACGCTCTGAGAAGTACATGTGCATGTCTGTCGAGCTTTTTCCTTTTCTTGTGCAAAGATTAGAATGATTGCAGAAAAACCCTTAACGTCTGACCAAAACTAAATTTTGCTTAATCCTCCCCTCCCTGCATTTCAATACTTAGTAGAAGAGACACTGTGTATAAGTGCATTGGTACGGGAGCGCTGTGATGACCACGCCCATCTTTGCTTCTGACGTGTTAGAAAAAAAAATGGAAGTGAAATTGATTTATCGAAAAACTTCTTTTTCGTTATATAACTATAAACGTTGACAAACGACTTATAGATATATACTGTTTTCTAGTTATCATTTTTTTTTGTATTTCTGTATTACAGAATGTTCAGCATGCAACCCAAGACCCAGTCCGTGTTCGAGTTCGCTCGCGGTAGCTCAGCAGCGCAGATGCAGAACAGCACCAGGATCATCTTCCACGTGACCAGGGTCGTTAAGTACATCACCAAGGTGGTGGAGAATCTGGAGTCCCTGGAAGACATGGCTCCAGTTCTCAGGCGTCTTGGAGGTCGCCACGGGACCAGTGGTTACAATGTTCCAACAGACTATTTCCCCGTAGGTTTTTTCCCTTTGTTTTCCGTCTGTCGCCTGCTGGTTTATTCCAGATTGACATCTTGTGCATTCTTTGTTTTCTGGACATGATTATATCTATTTTGGAGATGTTAAAAGGCAGAAAAAGAAATTCTAAAAACGTTGTTTTCAAACCGAATTGAATGTTGATAAATATGTTTTTTAAAGGAAATAATCAGGAAAAACGTTCTAATTAACGTTTAGAATAATTCAATTTCCTTCAAAAGAGTAAATACTTGAAATCTCCTCTTCCGCTCACCTTTGGCCGTGGCGACACCGAAAATTTCATAGATTTTCCGACTGAATTATATTTTTTCCTTTCAGCATCTGGGCGTAGCCATGCGGGAACTGATGAAAGCTCACATAGGGAACTGGACTAAGCAACACGACCAACTGTGGGACACGCTCTACACATGGATCGTGGCCAGAATGAGGGAGGGCCAGGCCACTTATGGCGGGAAAAGATAGACTGGAACCAACCGGAAAGCCAAAGATGCCCCAGAGAATAACTCTTAGTTGGAACAGTATTGTTTTTGATATCAAAAAACAGAAAGTATAGCTGCAAGTAACGGATAATTACCAAGTGATATGCAACGTTTTTGTTATCTGAATTCTGTACCAAATGAAAAATGAAATGAAACAAAATCAGTGCTGCTTAAGAATCATTCCTGAAGTTTTAGATGTGTTTTATGTCAGGTATTTTCACAGTTTTTGAGACACGAATTTCTCCGGAGCATCTTTGCAGAAAATTGGCTTATGCCTATGTGAAGAGAAAAGTGGAAGATCGGAAGAATATTTTCAAAGCCTGCCCACTTTAAATGTTGCTGTCGTACAACGCAATTCTGCTCTAGAGCTATGTTAATCTAGAATCCAGTGCAAAAGTGGCCACACTTTGAGAATAAAAGACTGTTGTTGTTCTTGTTTCTATTTGGCGTTGATTAGACATGTCTTAGCGTATTTCATTTAGCCACAGGGGAGTGACATGCTTTTGTGTTGTTCTCTGTGATTGGCTACCAAAGCTGCGTCTGTTTTTATACGCTCAAGATTGTGTCTGGTCCATGGCAAATGGAAGATATATTAGTTATATAAATAGCAATTAAATATATAACAAATATTTTATTCTATATATATTTTTATATTTTACGTGAACCGAAATAAAGTGCCACGCCATGTCTGCCTGATGACTAGTGTTTGTTCTTTTTCTCATTCTAATAGCAGGGGGTAGATTATTCACAATTGAATGGTTATAATATAACTTACTATGTCTTATATATAAAAATTATGTAAAACTACATATTCTGCCTAATATCCTTAAAACGGAGCTTGGTTAGAGGGAATGGGTTATCATTCCTTTCTGGACAATTGCGGTACCCTTCACAATCAGTTAATTTAACATCTTAAGTGGTTGAAACGCGCAAGTAAAAAGAATAAAAACCTCAAGCCTTTGGAATATTTGTTAAGTGGGTCCTGTACCTGCACTACGAGTTACCTTTGTGCAAACTCAGAACGCCTGGGGATATACAACGTTGGACCAAAACCATTTGCGTCCTTGATCAAACCCACTTTGGCCAAAATACCTCGTTAACGAGACGTGAAATGGCGCAGTTGCAAGGAGCTCAAAATAAAGTTGTTTTGGCGAAAGCGGTGAGATGCGCACCCGTCTGCAAACCTATGTCTAGGTCAAGGTCTACTAGCAGTGCGCACCACGGGTCTGGATCGAATTATCCCAGGGTCAATTTTCTCTTTTAGTGACCAGTGTATTGAACGACAGCGTAAACACAAAGAACACAAGCTGGCCTTGAAAATTATTGTAATATTTCGAAATGCCAAGGGATTGAACATAGTGCCATGTCATTGACCTTCAACATAGCAAAAGGGTGAGCTAGAGACTTTAAGATTTCAGTGGATTTTACAAAGGAATTATAAGGGTGTTAATTAGACCTACTATACATGTACTGTGCTACATTTACAAAATTCGTAATACTATTCAACACTTTTTGTATAAATTTCCCTCCAGAAGGTCAGTGAAGAAATAATTAAGCCTGTATCACTGCTGCGTACATTTAGCAAATAAGAATTTCGGACTATTATGACAGTTCAACACCTAATGTAATATGGCTTCGGTTCTCTTGGCATGTTTTCCTTCTTACTTTTTATTTCCATATATAATAATATTTTGTCACAATTTCAAGAATTGCGCAAAATGGCAATCCGTGCTGGATTGTGTTTACTAGGGTGTGATTGTTCCGGACGGCAACTCTAACACAATTAGATGAAAACTTCGCTGGCTGTAGTAGGTATTCGGAGGGTGTTGATACAATGTCCATACATCCAATTTTTAATAAATAGTACACCAAAGCTATTTCTCTAATTAAGGAGACTTTGTGATGATTATTTCATGGAGGGATGCAGTTTTTTAACGGTATAAAATAGTTAACCGCAGAAAAATTCTTGGTGTTTGTACATGTACATACAGATGTGTGTAGTGAAAAAATAACGCATGCGTTCTGTGAAAAAAATATTAAAGCGTCCAGTAACCATAATACATATAGGCCCTACATTCAGTTTGGCTTGATTTTGATAGCCAGCAGAGATTACAATACAATGCCCAAACACGCAAAAATTGAATTCGGTCTGCTTTACTGCACTGTCTATAAAACAGTCATGACATGCGTGGAAATTACAATACGTTTTTTTCTCTTAGAGGTCATCAAAAATAGCCAACAAACTACTGTTTTCCTACCTAAAAAGGCAGAAGGCTTTTGAAGTTCCGATCTCCAGTTAAAAGTGCATCACCCACTCGAATGAAGTAAGTGCACTGGGAACCTTTCAAGTACTGCTGCGTCCGCTCCGCCTTGACGCATGGTTGGGTCAGTGTGAAATCCTTTACATCAACTGGACACACACTTGACGACCCCTAACGTGTACGTTGGCGTTTAGGGTCATTGCGTGCATTTTCCATGCGCATGGTAATTTGGTGTAATAGAGGAGGATTTGTTTAAATTTGAAACGAGGAAATTACATATTATCTTTTCTGGGAAAAAGGCTTCGAAGTTGGCAAACGCGTTGTTTTATTATCCAAAGCACGACTGCTGTAAGACGTACGACATACCATGAATAACATTGATTGCGGGCTCAAAATTATCTTCCAAGTTTGATTTTACAGAATATGATCCAGGATTAACTGCTCGGCCAGAGTTTGACGTAGAACTAACTTAATTCATTTATCATTTTTTCGTGGAAGGTCTACATTGGACAACTGAACTGGCCTGAAATCTGTTTTTGATACACTGCAACTGACATGTTGAATATCGACTGGCAAACGTCGATTTCTACATTATCTATTCTAAGGATTTTCTGAAATTGAAGTCAGATACATCTGCATGTGGCTCAAGAGGCACTGGTGAACTATTCCAATTTGAATTTGAAAGAAATTAAGTGCTGTAATTGATTTTGCAATACCGCAAAGAACGGGCATTGTGTGCGTTAAAAGAGGCCCATTTTGTGATCGATTAGCAGTATTTGATATTGTTGCGATTACACTGTATTTGCTCAGGAATAAAGTCGGAAAGTCGAGATTACGCAACGTGACTTCACTTAAAGACTTTTAGCGTGAGCTGGCGGTGGGTTTCGTTCAGACCGTTCAACACAGACATTATTATTGATCTAAAAAAAGTGTTAAGAAAAACTGTCATAAATGAAGGAAAGGTGTAGGCCTACGATTTACATTTGGCAAAGAGACCAGGAAAGAATACGAAATCCCTCGAAACAACGCATACCCCATCCCTTCCCCAAAAGTTTGTCACTCAGTCCACAGGGACGTCATCCATAGGGACGCGGTTCTGTACTATATCGGTGCTATTTAGCTTGTGCAGACAGTGTGCGTGTGTTGCATGGAATGAGATAACCTCAAGCTTGGCCGAGCACACCAGGGAAGGCACTGAATTGATCACTTGCTGCACGCTCGTATGTTTCCATCCTGGTTGAGCGTCATCATAATGCGAAATTAAATATCCTTGTGCTGAAAGCTGATTAGACGACGAAGACGTGAAAAATATACGGGATTTTGTGCCCTTGTGACTTATTTCAGACTATCCAGCGGCAGTCTTTATTCCCTGATGTGGCACTTGTACGCTCTCTCTTCCCACGTTTTCAAATATTCAGAAGAAAAAATTATTACGCTCAGCATATCAAGCAGCTTCCCTCTACCAGAGTCACAGTTTTTTTTCACTGGATATTCACAGATATTTCTCTGGCTAACACCATTAGTTTTTTATAAGTACTGTAAAAACTTTAGAATAGAGTTGACGTCATCACTCAGCTAGCCTCTGTTAGAGAGTAGCCCAACAAGAGGCAGTTATTGATCAATGTCTCGCAGATGCCCATATTCTTCCTTTACCGTTATTGTTTTATAAAAATTAATAAAATCTGTCATCTGATATCCAGAGAACAGCTTGAATTTAAAAGGATTTAGAATTAAAATTGAACACAGATGTACATTGATGTACTTAGAGTTTGAAAACAAGTTTCAGTTTTCGGTTCAAAGGTGTCATCAATTTTTAAGTTGCCTTACATACCTATACATTTATTTATTTATTTATTTATTTATTTATTTATTTGTCATAAGCACAGAACACCCAGTCATTCGGGCTTATAAGAGACCTGTTGCATACAATTTTTTTTGTCTTAGAGCAAAAATCTTAACAAGAAATTTTGCTAATTGCCGGATTTTTTTTCATTAAAGCTTCTAAAGAAATTTCATTTAAATCATTTGTTTGGATATCAAACTAGCATTAAATTCACATTTTTCCTCATACAAGCAGTGCACCGAAGTAAGAAATGGCTCTCCATATTCTAATTTCTTTTTGCATAGTTTGCATATTCTTTCATTAATTTATTATTCTTTCATGCAATTTCGTGTATATGTGTAACGTCCAGTTCCACATGCTTATAGGCAAAAACTGATGGAAATATTATATTTTGGTACCTAATTTGCATAATTTATGTTAATTATGCTAATTAATGCATCGATAAAGATTGTCTCTATGAATACTTTTTTCTTTTGGCCCAAGGAACATTCCTGCCAAGTCAGGCATTTGCACTACAAAATTCAGCGTTTGCCAAATTTTAGGGCCTTAACAAGCCTAATAATGTAAAAGTAAAATCCCCATCATAAATTGAGTTAAAATGATTTTCTTTCCTGTTTCAACATGCATATTTTACAAAATTTTATTGATTTACATACCGTGCTCACAATTTCTGAACAAGAACCTTCAATATGCTCCGACCCTATGGGGTTTACAATGGCACACAATAAGACCATTTCTGTCATATTTGGGGTTCGCCTACATGCAAATAGTTCGTTGGAAGGGGCGTAGAAGTCGTTCTTAGGTTTCTGCACGGTAACAAACACTTTCAGTGGGCCTATGCCAAAGGCGCATCACAAATAGCGTTCACGGCTGTACCAGTTTTGGCCTGCAATGCTTTAATTAATAAACGTTAGCGGTCTGCCACATAGCACAGGCGCTCCTGAATCTGTTGTGAAGCAATGTTGTAGTCCGTTTACGTCCCTTCCACTATTTCCTGTCAAAGTAGCGACTACAAACTGACAACATGTATGGCTGTCAGTGAGCAAAGTGTAGAGAGTTAATACATGTATGCCCACCGGCAGTTTGATTGGAAAATTTGAAAGAGTGCATATTATACAAAGATATTTGTATTGGAATGTGTTATAATGTTAGCTTCGATGTAAGTTGCTCTCATAGATACCATTGGAATGTCTGTAGGTCTTTGCTAGTCTGTTTATCTCATTTTGACGACAAAAGCCACTTCTTGTTAAATGTCATGCGTCAAGGAGATTGACATTTGACAGTAAAATTCAGTTGGAATCGGTGCAGCTTTACATAAGTACCTACAACGTAATAGTTTGGACAGATGCAGATTCATCAGAAACAAATGATTCTACATTACTTATTCATTATCAAAGGCCACCGGTTTTTGAATCACCTTTTTCAGATGCAAATTGAAATTCACTTATGATATATTGCTACTGGATGAGTTCAAGCTCGGCGCTGAATTAAAATTGAAAACCGAAGCGAGAAGTAGTCAAAGTCAAAGTGATTGAAATGCTGTAGATTAGAAAGGACGGAAAATCTCCCA